TTCTGAGGGGAGGAAGATTCTGTTTTCTTTTTTCCTACATTGATCTTTAAATGCTGCCCTTGCTATCTTTCTGCTCACCCTGAACTGAGCCTAAGGGCGAAGGAACTGGGGGAGCGAAGCCCCGCCCAAGGGCCTGCACTCTGCTGAGGGACATTTCCTGGCAAGGACATGGGAGGCGACACCTTCACCCCAGACCAGGCAGGCAGCGATGCCCTCCTGCTTACACCAGCTGCCCGGGCAGGACCAGCCTCAGGAGCACCATCACCCTGCAGAGGGGCTGCCAACCCAAACCCAACTTGTGTCTGGGGCCGGGGTCAGAGGGGGCTCTGGTGGGCCCAGGCACCTCTGCCTGAGGGGCTGTGACCCTGGAGCATGGTGCCACAGGCGCCAGCACCGGCCGGCCGGCCCCCTCAGGTTCTCAGGGGCTCCAGCAGGTACTCGGCTAGCACCTCCTGCAGCCAGCCAAGTCTCAGGACCAGCAGTGACATGTTGGTCCCGGACAGTACAGCCCTGCCCTTCCCAGGACCAAGCCCAGCGGGGGCAGCCACTGTGAGCATGATGGCAGAGGGTGGTGGGACACAGCTGAGGCAGCAGGGCAGGGGCACCAGCCAGGTGGGAACAGCGCTGAGGGCGGCAGCCACTGGCTTGGTCTCTGTGGTGAAGGAAGGTGGCACTGGGAGGGAAGGACTCTAGGCCAGAAGCCTGAGGGCCCAGGGTCCTGGGGCAGGGCCTGAACCAGGAGTGGGAAGATGGAGGACCCAGTCTCCGGGGCTTCTGGAGACGAGGAGTGTCCGTCCTTGCTGGGGCCTGGCAGCTGGAAGTGAAGCCTTGGGCCCTGGAGCTGGGCCCTCCTGGGTGCGGTACCCCACCCAGAGGTCTGTCCGCAGGGAAGACACTGTCTTTATTTCAGGCAGACAGTCTGACACACAGACCAGGCCTGTGGCATCCCCGCCGGAGCCCCACCAGGGCTGCCGAGTCAGGGCTGTTTGGACAGCTGCCTCAGGAGCTCTTTAAATTTTGAAAACGTTTCTTTCAGCCGGGCTGGTAAGCATCCCATCCTCCAGGATCATAAAGTCCCCCAAGAAGAGCTGCTCCAGGAGCCCTGCTCAGCACCTGCCTGGTGGGGGGCACATGGCCCCCTCCCAGGTCCTTCCCCATGCTACTGTAGGTCCTGGGCTCCCCCCCTGGACTGGCACGGTCCCTCAGTCCCTCCCCAAGTTCCAGAATAGCAACCCCATCACTGGCTGGGTCTGATCCTGGAAGACTGGATTCAACTTCTCAAGGGACGGTTTTGCAGCTGCCTTCTCGCCTCCATGGGGCCACCCAAAGGTGAGAGGAGCACGTTGGAGCCTCTGGAGGTAGCCCTGCATCCCTCTGAGCACCACAGCCTTGGAGTACAGGCACAGCCCACCGTGACAACCAAGGCCACCATGGGGAGAACCAGGGCCTCCAGAGCAGCCCCCAAGCATCCCTGCTGCCCTCCCTGCTGGTGTGGAGGCTGAACCCCATCCCACCCGCAGGAACCACAGCAGCAGCCCAGGGCCAGCTTTCCTGTGCATGTTGTTCATCAGGATGACAGCAGTAGCAGTAATATCTGCTGCACAAGTACATATTTGAGCACACACCACTCACACACAGTACACACGCGGGCACACACACCACTCACAGTACACACGTGAGCACACACCACTCACACACAGTACACACATGGGCACACACAGTACACATGTGAGCACACACCATTCACACACTGTACACATCTGGACACACACACCAGTCACACACAGTACACACCTGGGTACACACCACTCACGGTACACACCTGGGCACACACACCACTCACATATACTACACACGTGGGCACATGCTACTCACACATAGTATGCACCTGGGCACACACACCACTCACACAGTACAGATGTGGGCACACACACCATTCACACATAGTACACACCTGGGCAGACACACCACTCACAGTACACATGTGAACACACACCATTCACACAGTGTACACATCTGAACACACCAGTCACACACAGTACACACCTGGGTACACACCACTCACATATACTACACACCTGGGCACATGCCACTCACACATAGTACACACCTGGGCACACACACCACACACCTGGGCACACACACCAGTCACACACAGTACATACCTGGGCACATACCACTCACAGTACACACCTGGGCACACACACCAGTCACACGTACTACACACCTGGGCACATACCACTCACATATAGTACACATCTGGGCACACACACCAGTCACACACAGTACACACCTGGGCGCACACACACACACCATACACAGTACACATGTGAGCACACACCATTCACACATAGTACACATCTGGGCGCACACACCATTCACACATAGTACACATGTGGGCGGGAGCTCTGGTAGCATAGCGGCTAAGACACTTGCCTGCTAACCAGACGGCTGGCGGTTCAAACCCACCAGCCACTCCTCAGAAGGAAGGTTGGGCAATCCTACTTCCATAGTGATACTGCCTCGGAAACCCAAGGAGGGGTCGCTATGAGTCGGGGCCGACTCGACGGCACATAACAACACAACAACACAACAACAACACATGTGGGCACACAGCACTCACAGTACACATGTGAGCACACACCACTCACACACAGCAGAGCCCACAGGTAGGCAGCTCATGCCGGCAGGCTTGTGCCTGCCCTCCCCACTCAGCCTGTGGCACCCACACCCTTTTCTGTTGAGAGCGGCCATGCCTGTGGCCCTGCTGAGGCTAACTATAACAGGACCCAGGACCCCGGGCATGCTGTGTGAGTTGGGTGCTGGCAGGCCTCTGGATTCCTGCAGGCCCGGTGCAGCACTGCCTTCCCTGACAGGTCCTGGTGGGCTGCTGGCTGCAGGGACCCAATGCCAGATCGCGAGGAAGCCCACACACTGGGCAGCAGCATGACGCAGGTATTCAAATTAAACCAGGGCAAGTGTGCCATGAAGACCACAAGTGCACAGAGGGTCAGCGTCTGTTCAGTTGTAGCTCCCAAGGGCTGTGCCCAGCAGGCCCGCCCCAGGGACAATCGCTCTGGGCAGCCACTGAGGCTGCCCATGTCTCCTTAGTGACCGCCCACAGCTCTGACACACCCAGCACACTCACATAAACCACATGTGGCCTGGCCCCACAGGGGGGCTCCTGGCACTGCGCCAGCAGGCCGTCCTGAAGCAGGTGCTGAGGGCTGTCCCCGAATTGGCAGAGTGACCCCCACAGCACCAGTGTCCGCCCCAAAGCCTCCCCCATCGCCCCTCAGCCCTGGACACATAGCCTTGGGTCATTATCATCATTTATTTATTTAGTTTTTACAAATTCTACAGAGAAGGACCTGGGCCAACGCGCTCCACGCCTGCTCCCGTAAAAGGCGGGACGGTGAGGAGCATGGATGGGACTGACCGGGACTCACTTTGACACGAGAAAAGGGCTGGGTTCCCGCCAGAGCTGCCAGTGGGTAGGACCGGGCGGGGCAGGTGCGGCTGGGGGGTGGAGGGGGGGGGGTGGGATCCAGACCCCCCAGGGCCAGGAGCCCCGGGCATGGGTCCAGCAGCAGTTCTGCCGGCTGGGCTGCAGTGTGGCTTGCTACCTCACGGGGAACTCAAGTCCGAGTCTGAACTTGGTTCTTGGTCGTTTTGGGGAAAAATACTTGTCTGTGGTTATTTCCAGAGATTGCACAGCTCGATTACAACCAGATTCGCTGTGGGGGTGTGTGGGGGCTGGCAGAGGGGGGCCTCCTGTCTCCCTTCTTCCTGGTAGGCCCAGCATGCCACCCTCAGGACGACTCGCTGCTCCTGTCCGGGAGCTCTGGTGTGACCAGTGTCCTAACTTAGCACTGCAGCAGACCTGTTCCTTCTCCCTGAATTGTCTTCAAGATCACTGTACTGAGCTAAGACTAAAGCAATGTGGGACAGACAAATGTGCTCATGGCCCTGAAGCCCAGCCCAGCAGCACCTGGGGGGGGGCAACACCCAGGCAGCTCTGCTAGCTGCCGCCAGGTGCCTCCACACCCAGGCCTGGGCTGTCTCCACTTCGCTGACTTTTTTTGGCCACTTCCTGGTTGGGTCATGCTAACCCTCTCCAGGCCCGGTGTGACCAGACAGGTAGGCTGCTGGGCAGGGGCTCCAGCATGTGAGTGTGAGTGAGGGCAGCGTGGCACACCTCAGCACCACAGCCACCTGCCACATCCCACATGGAGGAGAGGGGGATTCTGACAGTTCATACAAAGGGTGCTGCTGTGGGGGGCAAGGCTGTGGGGGGCAACTGTTTTTCTTTCCCGAGACTCCTGAAACCTTCAACCCTGACACGCGATCACCTACTGCAGTGAGCTGGCCTGCTGCTACACTGTGGTTCCTGCAGGTGGCAACTATGGCCAAAGGGCAAACGTGGGAGGAATGTGGAGTGTGGGCGCCACTGTAGGCAGGGAGCATGGAATGTGGCCCCCGCATGCCGGCCCTGGGGGCTGCAGAGGGGGTGGGTGGGCTAGAATCCACTGGCGATAGGGAAGCCTGGAGAGGCGGGAAGCCACAGCCACGAACACCAGGCGGAAAGCTTGGTTTCAACACCGAGAGGGTCCCTTCCTACACTTTCCGCACGACTTTCCCCAGGGAACCTGGCCACAGGCTCAGGAACAGTGTGAGCAGGTTAGGGCCCCAGGGAGGCTGGGCCGCCCGCTGGTTCCAGTGCTCAGAACGCAGGTGGCGCCGCTGTGGGGCACTACGACACGGACAGACACGGACACCACCCCGTACATGCTATTAAAAAGGGACGAAGAGGAGGAGGAAGACGGCAGCGAAGCCGCTCGAGCACTGCATGCTACGCACGTCACGAGTCAGGCTGGGCGGGCAGGGGCCGGGCATCCCGGGCGGCGCTGCCCACCCCGCCGGGGCCCGCGCTCTGAGCCTACAGTCCGTTCCAGGTGGAGGGCCCGCGGGCCGCTCCGGCCGCACGCCGCGCTGCAGACCTAGTTAAACCCGTCGGTGTGGTAGCTGGGGTGGGAGTCGGCCGTGAGCTGGGTGGTCTCCGTGGCAGACGCCGGCTGGATCACGACTGGCGCGTCTGCAGCCTCTGAAAGGCAAGCAGGGCGCGCTCAGCGCACGACGGCGCGCCGGCTCTGCAGCCAGGGCGGCCGCGGGACAGCGGCCCGGAGCTCTGGCTCCCTGCGCCCGGC